CAGGATAGGAGGGCAGTTACAAATATTAATACATTGTGTATTGTTGTTTTTGTAGTAATTATTCAAAGTACAAGATGCAGACATGATCTCTTGTCTAAACAATATTAGTACAAATTTTTCTTCTCATTGAACTAAGAGAAAGTAGCTGTATATTTGTCCTATTTTGCATGTATATATTTTTTTCACTACAAAATGGTCTTTCATTTATATCCTCCTTTTTATTTTGTTTTGTCAGAAATGGGGATTGCATTGTTATTAGAGTAACTGTATTAAAGGACATTTTTATAGTTGATGCCAGTTCAAGTATTGTAGGTACTTGAATTCGGGAAATATCTCAATATAGTCCAATAGCCCATAATTGTTGTGGGTTATCAGCAGAACTGCCAATTGTCAAAAGTTGTTGACTTGAGTCAGCAACTTTTAGGTCAGCATGTTAATAAGGCATTACTTTTTATACTTCATAGTTATACTTTTCTGCTGGATGATTAAGACCAAATTAAAGCAAGACCTACATAACTAAAAATGTAACTTTTGTATGTGACAAGGTCAGTCAAATCCCCTCAAGATTTACCCTGAAACCACGTACAGCAGCTTGTAGATCTTATGTCAGTGTCAGCCATCTGGGTGAGTCATGGCCATTGCTTGACTAATTTCCTCTCTGTGAAAGCCTGAGAGAATTTCTTCTCTCTAGGTGACTCTCCTTAGACACACTCTTCATCATCGATCACTTTCCTCTGTGGCCTCATAATCTCCTTGAACAGAAAATTTGGGACACCACTGAGTTATAGGATGTCACAGCACAGGTTCTTTTATGTCCTGTGTGCTCACTGACCTTGAAGGGCAAGGGCCAAAATATTGGTTATCCTTACGTCCCCTCTATTTCTCTAATTTTGGTCTGCAAACTTTAGCTGTTAACCATCCAGAAGATAACCTTAATGATATTATTACTCTGTAACAGAGGCAGTTGAGCTTATCATCACTATCTTATCAACACTGTCTGAATGGATCTGCTATTTTCCAACAAACATGGACATTCTAAACTTTAAATCCCTACAGAATCTGAAAATGCAATTACATATTTTTACACAGAAATTTAAAAACCAAGTCATATATAACATTATAGCAGGACAATGCTATGATTTTTTTCTTGTTTCTTGTTTTCCTTTTTTATCTTTTTTTCCCCAGACATTTACTATAAAGAGAGTATAGCAATAATTGATATGACATTATAAGGAGTACACATTTAGAAGACCAAAATGATAGGTATTTCGAGCCTGGTTTTAGTGTCACACATTACTATCTTCAGTGTAGTTGCTTAGTTCACACATATCAGCATATAGAGTTGTTCAGGGTGAGATTTCTACCCATTATGTGCTATTTTCAAAAACATGATGGAGAGTCTTAGGATCATTGCCTTAACCATCTTGTTTATATAAATGTATGGTTTTGCCTCTGCCTTATTTCCTAATTTTTCTCCTTTCTCTCTCTTCATTGTTTAATCCTCAAGTTCTCACTTTCCATTGAACTGTGTTATACCTTTCAATTTTAATTTCTTCTCTTGAGTTCTTCCACTAGTTCAATAGTGTTTCTGTACACAAATGATGCATACATGTAGAAAGAACTTAGGGAAACCACACCTTTCAAAATAGAACCCAAAAAATGAAACATGGAAGAATCAATCTCACAAAGAAAGTAAGAATCATACAGTGAAAATTATAGAGTTATGAGAAAAGAAATCAATGAAGACTTCACAAAATGGAAAGATATTCTTTGCTTCTGGTTAGGAAGAATCAACATTGTGAAAATGGCCATGATCTCAAAATTGTTCTGCATATTCAAAGCAATCCTTCACTTCCTTTGAAGGCCCATTCCTTGTCTACTTTATCAGTGTTAACTGACATATGTAGGTAAGAACTTGTTCATCTTTAAAGTAATAATATAATTGTGATTTCCCCTTTCAGAGCAAATAGTCCAAAAACTTGTTAAACAGATCAAACATTGTAAGTTTTTTATTATGCACCTTGTGGTAAATCAACATTAAAAATAAATTTTTTCTTTAAAAAGAATGCAATCCCAATTATTATTCCTCATAGATCTTGAGAAAAGATTCCTAAAATTCATCTGGAATCAGAAGAATCTTAGAATATCAAAAACAATCCTGGGCAACAAAGACAAGGCAGGAGGCATCACAATCCCTGACTTGAAATTATACTACAAAGTTACTGTGATAAAATCAGCATGGTACTGGCAAAAAACAGACATGAACATCAGTGGAACAGATTAGAAGATTTAGACACAACTACAAGTACACTCAATCACAATATCTTTGACAAAGGGCCAAAAACATTCACTGGAAGAATGGTAACCTCTTTAGTAAGTGGTTCTGGAGAAACTGGCTTTCCACATGCTGAAGCTTACAATTAGACCCATGTCTATCACCATGCACTAAAATACAGTCAAAATAGATTACAAGTTTAAATATTAGGACAGAAACACTAAATCTTCTAGGAGAAAAAGTACATAGAAATCTTAAAGACATAGGGGTAAATCGAGAGTTCATGATAAAAAGCCAAACTTCAGAAGAAATACTTCAAAGAATCAAAAACTGCGATCTCATCCTCTTGAAAAGTTTCTGCACTTCAAAAGATGTCTTCAATAGAGTAAAAAGAAAATCCACAAACTTGGAAAATATTATAGCAGATTGTCCATCTGACAAAGACCTTCTATGTAGTCCATATAAAAAAATTAAAAAATCAGGCCCCCAAATTTAAAGACCTATTCCAAAAATGGGCATCTGAGATGAATACACATGCTCAGATGAAGAAACACAAATGGCAAATAACTATATTAAATAAAAAGTTCAGCATCATTTTATAAATCCAAATTAAAACAACACTGAGAGTCCATCTCACAGCAGAAAGAATGGCTATCATCAAAGAAGTCAGCCAATAACAAATGCTGAATGGGCTGTGTGGGAAAAGGAACTCTTCTCCATTACTGATGGGAATGCAGACTGGTATAACCACTATGGAAATCAGTGTAAAGATTCCTAAAAAAGCTAGGATTAGGAGTACCATCAAACTCAGCTATTCCCCTCCTGGGTATTTTTCCAGAGGAACTGAAAACATCATATCATGTTTAGAACAGCTTGATTTGTCATAGTTAAATCTTGGAAACAACCCAAATGTCCATCAACTGAGGGATGGATAAAGTAGATATGATATTTTTACACAATGGAATATTAGTTATTAAAAATGAAACATTTTAGATTTTTATTGGCAAATGGATGCAACTAGAGACCATACTCGAGTAAAATAAATCAGAACTGCATGTGCAAACATCATATTGTCTTGCTAGTGTAAGAACCTGAAAGAGTAAATAAAATCTGAAAAGGTACAATAGATACTTTGTAAAGGGAAAGAATCTGTTCAAAGCAAAGGAAATACTGAGATGAGAAGGAAGGGAGAGGGAAGGAGTAGGAGAATTATATATATATTATATATAATGCACACACATGCACACACACACACACACACACACACACACACACACGATGGCTTGGATAATTGTACTGCTCATTTCTACTTGTCTATGGAAACAAGCAATTAACACTGAAAATTTTTTTCTTCTAAATTTCTTATAACTTTCCCCCCTCAATTTTGCATGCATATATCTGATAATCTAAACAACTAATTTGAAGTCAACACTAGGCAATACAACAAATATTGTCAAATTTGCATTATTTTATTTAGTGAAATACTGTATCATTTCTAATGATTTTTATTACCATTATTTCATATTCTCTTTAGTAAATAAAAAGAGACCTTATACTCTTTTTATGTTGTAACTTAGATTTGTCATATTTTGAGACAATCATATAAAATATAACAGGAGCAATTATAAGCAGTAAGTAAAGACATATCAAAATTTAATGCATAAAACTTTGTTACCAAAATGAATCTCAATCCACAGTTTGTGAGCCTACAGTTGTGGTTAACATGGGTTTTGTAGGGCTTGAGCGTTAAAGACTTGATCCCATCATTCTGAAACTTCCTCTGACTCTATCGTGACCATTTTTTTCCTTTTCACCCCTTTTTAGCATCCCTGGACACTCCTTGTAGGAGTCCCCTCCAGGTCCTTGTCTTGGTCTAAGAAGTCAATATTTGTAATCCCAAACATACATTATTGGAATCCCACCAAGCTAATTCCAATCTACCACTTCTAGTGCAACCCACAGTGAAAGTAAAGACACTAAAACATGTTTATAATTATTGGGGAGCCAACGGCCCCTAAGTCCAACCGTGAAGATGGCTTTCTGGAACAAAAAGAGCGGACCCAGGGCTGCACCTGGGTTTTATTCAGTGGAGGAGGAGGGGCCTGAGAAGTAATGACTGAGAGTTGTGGGAAGTAGGTGAGTACTGTGAGCTGAGCTAGGTAGGTGGCCTACATTTACCTCTGCCATATGCAGAGAAAGTAATTTGCATTCTGCTATTGAGATAGTATCTAGTGTTTCCAGAGTCTGGTGCTTCAGCTCTGACGTAATCTTTCAGGCCCCAGAATGTCATAGTCTCTGTCTCGAGGCTGAATCCTAACTGGTAGTGTGGAGCATTGGCTCTTTGTTCTGTCTGGACCCTGCTCACATTACAGAGCAGCAGGTGTAGGTTACCAGGGAAGTATGCATGCCACCTTCAAAGACTATCACTAGCACCTCAGCTAAATTAATATACATGGATTAAGGCCAATTGAAAAGATAAATAGAAGTCCTAGCTAGCTCAGCACATATCAATACAAGGAAATAGGGTCAGGCTTAGCCAAAATGGAGACAATTACTCTTCTTTCAAGGAGAACTGCTCATGTGGTCCTCCACAGTTCCCCCTTCTCTGTTTTGTGGTACTACACATTCCCCCCTTCTTTGAAATGTCCCCTCTTCTTGCAACAGGCACACTTGTCTGGATCTAGAGGAGTGTGGCATCCTCATCCTGGTTGTCTTTTTCTCTTTTTCCTTTCCCTCTTGACTGAGCCTCTTTCTGGTCAGCTGCCCGCACCATCCTTCTCTTTTCCTGCTTCAGTCTCTATTCTGCATCATGTCTATTTTGATACCCCTCTGGGCAATCTCAATCAGCTGATACAAACCCATTCATACAAATCCTTTTAATTATTGTAAATTACAGCATATATCAAGGAGTGACTGAGCAACAAAAGCCATATTAATAGTATGGCTATCCTCAGGTGCCTATGGGTTGAAAGGGGTATAGGCTCAGTAAGCCTTCATGAGGTGCTTGATAAATGCAGTGGGGCTCTCAGTTGGTCCCTGGCACATGTCTGTCATTTTCTTCAAACTAGTTGGGTGGTGAACAGCAGTGAGCATCCCCTTCCTTAACACTTGATTATTTCCTTTAGAGCATTTATTCCCTCCTTGGTGTTATAACTCAAGACACTGCCATTACCTTGTCTTGCTCTATACCCCCACCTTCTAATCTTGTTCTCCAACTGTCTTTAAAATTCTTGCCTTTTCTTCTAAAGAAAACAGGGTTAACTTTTGTTGACAATCACTCCAAGTGGACAAAGTTTAAAACACTAACTTAGAGTTAGAGTTTTAAACACTAACTCTGGCAGTGTAATCAAAGCCTGAAGTTGTTCTGAAAAAGGGGGATTCTGCAGTCTCCAGTTATGTAAGTCACTAGTGGTGAAAGGAACATATATCAAGGTGGATCAAGGCTTTCTCCTGGCCCCATTATGGCATTCTGCTGGAGGGACAGTACAGGGACTGGTCCTGAGGAAGATACTTCCTCCTTCAGTGGATCTGCTATTGGCACAGGGAAAGTCCACCTGCATCAACAAGATGGACATGGAGCCAGAGTTGGGGTGTGTGGCACATGTGCACACAAAGTTTTATGCATCAAATTTTAATTTGTCTTTACTTACTGTTTATAACTGCTCATGTTCACCCTTTTATATTGCTGCATTGAAATATGAAAATTCTAAATTAAAGGAGGAGTCAGGGTAGGGTAGTGGTTGGGGGGGAATCAAGGGTGGGGTTGTCTTTGGGGGTTAAGGGTAAATTTTTGCTATGAGGACCTCTCTTTGATCACTGTTACTTGGTCAGGAAAACCATGAATACACATTCTTTGCAATTGGGATAACATCTGGACCACACACTATCAGGAATCAACATAGGGAAACTGATCTGGATGCCCAGGCCACATGGCAACAACATCCCGGATTTTATTGGGCACTTGAGTATTGATCACTCCCTCTGGCCACCTTACATCAATAGAAGGCCACTCTAGCTCACACAGGGTGTGGAGTCTTTGTGGTTTCATTTTTACTCCATAATCACTCTTGAACTTGTTAAAATTCTTAATCATGCAATCCAGAACAGTTAGCTTGCTGTTTGCCAACCCATGATAGCTCAAGTCAGAACAAAAAGGAAGCAGTTTACCTCAGCAGATCTTCCTTCCCACACTCAGCCATTAGCATTAATGAAAGTCCAAGGCTAGCAAAGTTTGAGAGGATGGCCATTCCTCTGGGTTTCATCCTCTGTGGTCTCCAAGTATGGACTGACTCTGAAATCCTGGGACCAGGTAGAGAAAACACAAAATAAAAGCACCAAATTAACAGACAAACAAATGAAACATGTCCAGGAACAACTGACAAATTCCAGGAACTATTAGTCACTCCTGATCAACAATTAATTTGAAGCAACTTAGAGAGGGGATCGGAATTGATGAGCTACTCAGTTTAACGAAGAGAACAAGCTGACCCATCCAGCAGCCTGAGGGCCATCAGCTGAATGGTTACTACCATCTATGGGCTGGGCCCTTCTCATAGTCTCACACCATGACAAAAGAATCCAAGAAATAGGCTGGTGTATCTGGTAGCCTAAACAGGGGGTCCATCACCCAAGTAACAGCCATACCACTTTGGGTTGTCATATTCAGGCTGGGCCCATTGTGAGTCAGCCTCCAGAACCCCAGTGAATTAAAGATGCCAATTTTCACCTTGGTGGGGAGGTGGGGCCTGGTTATTGCATTCTTATAGCTGTGACATAGTGCCCTGCAATTGTCTCAGGTGGCCAACTATAATTAGCTGAGTCACCCTGCCACCAGAGGTAGACAGAAAAGTGAGGAGACATGGGACTTCTTCAACTGAGGGCCTTTTCTGTGAGGATCTCACTGGGGCCTCCAGAATATTATGGCAAGTTACTAAAGATACTCACAAAAGGCCAAGATATGGGAAGAAACATTGGTTTATTTAGCATATACAGACAACATCCCCAGTGTTACCAGTGAGAGGCACTGACCATGAAGGCAGAATCACAGCAGCTTTTATAGGAGTTGGTCCAATTGCTAACAACAGAGTTTCTAAAAATATCAGGTACTTTCCAGAAGGGTGGAGTACAGAGTGCATCACAAGATGACAGTCGTGCTCACGGGATGGTCACGGGGTTCTTCTAGCATTGCAACCTTTCTCAAAATAGCATTTTGCTGAAGTAGAACAGCTTACACATGGAAACTGCTTATCATATGATTTGGAGAACAAGAGCGAGTTCATCTAAAGTTCGAGTGACTTCTGAGAAGATTTTGGGTCTCACTTGCTCCATCACTGGAGGTGGGAAGGGTTCACACCAAAAAGCGCATCCAAATTGGGGCTGTTGAGAGGAAGCTTGCCAAGTTTCTTGCATTTCCTCACATCCTGTAACTAGGGCACTGATTATTTGTTCTGAATGTTCTATCCTTTCAAGGATGTTTATATTGCAAACGGCCTTGAAAGATAGAAGTAGTGTCAGATTTCATAGCAAAGAGTGAGTTTGCTGTCTACGGTAACAGAGTAATGATTTCTCTAGGACAAAGGGCTGGGGTGCTTGTAGCGCACTATAAATTTTTTTGTTCTCTAAACTCCGTCTGTCTTTTCTGTAACCAAACCCTCTAAGTGTGTAGGTATCAACTGGACCTTGCATCCCTCCGTGGGAATTGAGACTTGGGGAATTGTGCAGAAATGCTAATATTCTTGCTACTGATATTGTTGAGAGTAACAATCCTTCATTTCTGACATAGGCATTTTATGCATTCTATCACTTCTAGGATATTGCGGCAGACTAACTGGATATCTAGCATGTGATATAAAATCTCAGGCATTTTATTTTATTTTATTTTATTTTTTTTCTACAGTTTTATTGATAAACAGATAGCAATGAGACAGTTTCAAATCAAATCGGAAGTACAGTTTCAACAAATAATACACTGCATATATTCTTCTTAGTGGTTA